AGATATGTGGGTGGGTTAAAAATGTTAACTCCCTCCCACAACATATCTTCATCCTTTTTTAAAATTTTAATTTCTGCACAGATTTTAGAACAGATGATGATGAAATAATTTATTAGATTACATAAATTTATTATTTGATTTCTTATTAAAAAAAAGAACTTGGTTTAATATGATTTGCTTTAAGTTTTATAGAAGTTAATCATCATACTTCACTGTAATGTTCTTTGAATAGAAAGAAATGTATTTATTATAGTCAATAGCTCATTCCAACCGGTGCATGCTGACCTCATTTATCAGCCAGAAGACTCAAACCCAGGAAACCCCCACTGGCACTGGCACAACATCTGCCCAACAACTTTAACATTGATTCCCAATGGAAAGCCAAATGGGTCACTGAACACCCAGACATAGGAATATAAATGGCCCCACAAAAAAGGTGTTCAAAAGGCTTTGTACTACCACACCAGCAATGGACAATCCTGAATAGGATTTGCACCTCACATGGCATCTGCCGGGACTCTCTGTATAAATGGGTCATAATATCCTCCCCTCAGTGTGACTGCAGGATCCCATGTCAAATTATAGATTAGATCGTGACTGGTTATAAGATGAGGGCATATACCAGGCAAGTATCTGATTTTTTTTTTAATATAAGCGATGCTGCGCTTCAATGGTTAGATGGCCTAGGGCCAGGGGTAGGCAACCTTGGCTCTTTTATGACTCGTGGACTTCAACTCCCAGAATTCCTGAGCCAGCTATGCTGGTTCAGGAATTCTGGGAGTTGAAGCCCACGAGTCATAAAAGAGCCAAGGTTGCCTACCCTGCCCTAGGCATTGGTATTTGAACACAGATCTTTTTAACATTTATCTTTTATGGTGTTTTTTACTAATCTAGATGAAATGTTAATATATATTGCTAGTCCGTGTATGATATGCCATATGCTGAATAAATAAATATAGTCAATTTCTAAGCACAAATCTAGGGAACAAAAATAATTTCAGGCACTGACAAAGAAAATGAGGTTAACAGATTAAGAGGGTAACACTCTTGAAGCTTTAAATTCCAAGAGCAAGGAGCACATTATGCATACAGCATGAAGGCTGGTTTACATGCTATCCTGAACATGCTTCTGTCATCTCCGCACAATGCTGAGGTAGTCATATGAACACCAATGGCCAATAGTATATTGCAGAACAGTGCTTTTCAAATTTGACAACTTTAAGAGGTGTGGGCTCCAACCCCAGAATTCCCCAACAGCATATAGCACACATGTTAAAATTGCCAAGTTGGAAAAATACTAAGCTAGAAGAAATTTCTCTTAAGTATATTTCTAATGACATACTGTACTGTATTCTGCTTTCCTAAAATGATCTGACTGAAGCCCTCACCAAAATGTATGCCCAGTTATGAAATTCTGGGTATTTAAGAATACTGTACTGTTGATATCTAAAAGACAAAGCCAGATTCAGCAAGAATAGACATTTTTCAATGGACAAAAGTCTGAGGTATGGATAAGGACTTGGGGGCAGAGCAGTGACTTAGTGCTGTCTCTAAAAATGAGAGAGGCAGGGCTTAGAGACAGTTTTCTTTGTCATTCGGGGTTCTTACTGCTTTATTTATTTTTTCTTGATGAGATAAGCCTACGCAAGTTTTTCTTGTTTTCTGTTTTCTTTTCTGCACTGAAAATAATCAAGAACAAGAATTGTTCAGCAGGGAATCCTATTTGGCTACTGAATTTCAAGGGCACAGTTTGAAAGAATAGGGTTTAGGCCTTGCCTTCAGTCTATTCTATAGCAAAAAGCTATAGAATAAACCCTCTGTGCTCGTCTAGAGCAGTGATGGCGAACCTTTTAGAGATCAAGTGCCCAAAAACCACCCCACCCACCCACCCACCCTACTCCGCCTTCCGCCCCGTCCACCCGCAAGACCACCCACCACCTCCATGGTGTGCCACAGATTGCCCAGGTGGCCCTGCAGCACCATGGCAGCCATGGCCTCCGCCCCTGCCCTGCAGCAGCATCTGCACGTGATGGGGCGTGAGGGAAGTCTTGTCCCTGCTGCCATGTCCTTGGATGCATTGCGCCACATGGACCACGCCTGGGGGCGACTCTCCTCCGGGGAGGAGAGGGCTGCAGGGGGAGGCGGGGCTGGGGCGACAGCATGTGTGCCCACAGAGAGGGCTCTGAGTGCCACCTGTGGCACGCGTGCCATAGGTTCGCCACCACTGGTCTAGAGCATAATCCAGGAAAGAGCAACCCCATGTTCTCCAGATCATCAAGATGACTGTGGAAAAATCTATGCCTTTCATTAAAGGCACACTATATATTTGCAGACTTCATAGATCACAAATATGGATACCTAAATGGCATTAAGCTCTATGTCTTCTACCTGGATTCATCTTCCACATATTGTCACATAGTTTTGGCATGAATATATGATTTCTGTCTATAGAAGTTAATACCTTGGTAACAGAATATTATCAAATTTGGGACTTATTTTATTGATGGCTAGAGGAAAGAATAAAGGATTAGGAATTAAATATATATTAGTGAATGTAAACTCAGACAGCACGTTGGTTGAAAAATTATTATTGTATATATGGAATTTTTTTTAATAAAAATTCTATTTAAAAAAAGAAGTTACTACCTTGGTAGACATTTTCAAATCTCTGGCTAAATTAAATATTTTTTTAAAAAGAGTGGCATTTGCCAATAAAAAACATATTGTGAGTTTCAAGAGTGAACGAAACAAATTAACATAATGCAATTGTTATTTCTAACTACTGTTTTCTCTCCAATATTAAAGTAGCAATATCACACTGAACCATTTTTAAAACTACTTTCAGAAATATGAGTCTCTCAAATAAGTTAAAGAACTTAAGTGGTTCTGACATTATAATATGGTTCAGAAAGTTTCTAGCATTAGAATTTTACGAGTGAACAAAGATTGGTACCACTAATCAGCTTATAGAATTGTANAGATATGTGGGTGGGTTAAAAATGTTAACTCCCTCCCACAACATATCTTCATCCTTTTTTAAAATTTTAATTTCTGCACAGATTTTAGAACAGATGATGATGAAATAATTTATTAGATTACATAAATTTATTATTTGATTTCTTATTAAAAAAAAGAACTTGGTTTAATATGATTTGCTTTAAGTTTTATAGAAGTTAACCATCATACTTCACCGTAATGTTCTTTGAATAGAAAGAAATGTATTTATTATAGTCAATAGCTCATTCCAACCGGTGCATGCTGACCTCATTTATCAGCCAGAAGACTCAAACCCAGGAAACCCCCACTGGCACTGGCACAACATCTGCCCAACAACTTTAACATTGATTCCCAATGGAAAGCCAAATGGGTCACTGAACACCCAGACATAGGAATATAAATGACCCCACAAAAAAGGTGTTCAAAAGGTTTTGTACTACCACACCAGCAATGGACAATCCTGAATAGGATTTGCACCTCACATGGCATCTGCCAGGACTCTCTGTATAAATGGGTCATAATATCCTCCCCTCAGTGTGACTGCAGGATCCCATGTCAAATTATAGATTAGATTGTGACTGGTTGTAAGCTGAGGGCATATACCAGTCCAGTATCTGATTTTTTTTTAATATAAGCGATGCTGCGCTTCAATGGTTAGATGGCCTAGGGGCCAGGAGTAGGCAACCTTGGCTTTTTTATGACTCGTGGACTTCAACTCCCAGAATTCCTGAGCCAGTCCACGAGTCATAAAAGAGCCAAGGTTGCCTACCCTGCCCTAGGCATTGGTATTTGAACACAGATCTTTTTAACATTTATCTTTTATAGTGTTTTTTACTAATCTAGGTGAAATGTTAATATATATTGCTAGTCCGTGTATGATATGCCATATGCTGAATAAATAAATATAGTCAATTTCTAAGCACAAATCTAGGGAACAAAAATAATTTCAGGCACTGACAAAGAAAATGAGGTTAACAGATTAAGAGGGTAACACTCTTGAAGCTTTAAATTCCAAGAGCAAGGAGCACATTATACATGCAGTCCATACAGCATGAAGGCTGGTTTACATGCTATCCTGAACATGCTTCTGTCATCTCCGCACAATGTTGAGGTAGTCATATGAACACCAATGGCCAATAGTATATTGCAGAACAGTGCTTTTCAAATTTTGTGCGGGTCTGGATGGGGAGGAACGGGCTCCAGCTCAACCCATCCAAGACCGAGTGGCTGTGGTTCCCGGCGCCTCGTTTCAGCCAGTTTACTCCATCTTTGGCCATTGGGGGCGAAACACTGGCCCCGGTGGAAAGGGCACGCAACTTGGGCGTCCTCCTGGATACCCGGCTGTCGTTAAACGATCATATGACGGCCGTGGCCAGGNACTACTGTTTTCTCTCCAATATTAAAGTAGCAATATCACACTGAACCATTTTTAAAACTACTTTCAGAAATATGAGTCTCTCAAATAAGTTAAAGAACTTAAGTGGTTCTGACATTATAATATGGTTCAGAAAGTTTCTAGCATTAGAATTTTACGAGTGAACAAAGATTGGTACCACTAATCAGCTTATAGAATTGTATATAGGATAAACCTTCATATTTCTTAAAATGATCTCTATTAAGAAGCTTAGCTATATTTAACATTGCATAATATTGTCAAACAACATTACTAAGCACATTGAACGTAATAGTGGACTTCATGTAAAGGGAATCATCTACTTAAGAGCTTTGTGTAGTCATTTCCCACTGGTCTTCCCTACAAAGGAAAACTGTCAATGAAATTTCATTAGACAGACAATTTCAAGCAATAATCTTGCCCCTTGATGAGTATGACACTCTTTAGCTTAAGACTGTTCTACACTGCTTCTTCAGCTTCCACTGGCCTACTGCTATTAATGCATTACAGAGAGTCCTCGAATTAAGACCACAATGGAGGCTGCCCAATATGACTGTGAGCTGTAACAGTCATAAAACACAAATTTATGACTTTTTGTAGCTATCATGTTGCAATGATTCACTATCGGTGCGGTTTTCCTGAAAACCAGAAGCAACTGCCAGTTGTTTAGCAAAACCATTGTAAAATGCGGCCATGTGACCCTGGGACACTGCAAATGCCCTTGAATACAGCTGTGTTGTCAATCACCCAAAGTCTGGTCACATGACCCGCAGTCAACTGGAAGAACCTAGGATAAGCAAAACTCTCCTCAATCCCCCCCCCTTCTTCGCAATCATTGGATAGCATCCTGCATTTTTATGAGGTAATAATTTAAATTTGAAATAATCTTTTCAAAATGTAATGAAGAACATTGTGAAAAGATGACCCTGGTTTTAAAACTGGAGAAAGAAATATCAATAACCTGCACTATGCTGACAGCACTATTTGGATAGCTGAAAATATATAGGATCTGTAACATCCGGTAATAAAAGTCAAGGAGCACAGTGGAAAAAATGGACAAAAATAAAATAATAAAGAAGACCAAACTAATGACAGAATGGGAATAACCAGCCTTAGATCTGACAATGATATCTATTCAAAAGCCGATACCTTCTGCTATTTAGGATCAACCACCCCAAGGAACAAGCAATCAAGAAATATGCTACAGGCCAGCATACGGAAAGCAGCCATGAAGGTGTTTGAGAAAAATATTCAGATTACATGATGGGTCTTGAGGACCACACTGGATGCACTTTGTAATACCCACAACATGGACTTTGTAGTATTGTTTTACCTGCTAACATAATTATTTTGTATTTTATTTTGACTTATTTGTCTCTCTTTTTAAAAGATGTTAGTGGTTTGATTGGTAACTTCTAACATTCCTAAACTTCAAGATAAAAAACTGTCTTTGTCCCCCAGGTCGAGATAGAATGGGATGTCTGATAAGAGAAAGCTTATTAGCACTAACTGATATCTGGTCTGTGTCTCTGTGAACTCCGAAAGCTTTATGACTTTTTTCCCCTCATTAACGTCTTAAATTTTGTCAGACCTCATTTAAATGGACATGTGCCTTGTCACATATACTGTAATATGTTTTAACTCCGTATAACTGCTTTTCTGTGCAAAGGAGGGGTTACTTTTGTCCTGTCCAATCAACTTTTCTCTTGTCGTTTCCTTTGATGTATTAATTATAAAAGGGATTGAAAGCTGGGTCTCAAGGTTCCCTCTTTGAATGAGAGGAATTCTTTTTAGTCAGAACATTCAAAATAAATTGTAATAAAATGATCTTCCTGTTTTGGTCTATTTCATTGGAAAGCATGCATGCTGAGGCCTAGGAAACCATATTTGGCTAACAGTCTATACCTACAAAGATCAGAATAGTACATTGTCAGCCTTATCAGGCAGACCAGACAGAAAACATGACCAGATAAATTAATTATATTTAATTGTAGAGATAATAAAATCTTGCAAGCCTGAAAGTAAAATTCTCATGCTCAAGAACCTCTGAGCCTCTTCCTCCACCTACTATTCAGTTGCGGGCTACATTGTCCCTTATCCATTAGCGGGATTCAGCCAGTTCGCATCACTTCGGCAGAGCTGGTAGCTAATTTTTTGTTGCCCAGGCTCAGAACGGACTTCTGGAACCAGCATCCACACAGAGAACCAGTTGTTCACATATTTGAATCCCACCACTGCCCGTGTCTGACCATTCACTAGGCAGCATCTCTTCACCTCATCTCCCAAGGTCTTTCCCACATATCATTATTTTTTGTTTACTAACCGCATTTATATAACTATAACTGCCCATCTCACTAAAGGTGATTCTTTTATATATACAAGTATTCTCTGTGATACTCTATGGACCTGAAAGTTGGAGTTTGAAGAAGGATAGGGAACATATTGATGCTTTTGAACTTTGGAGTTGGAGAAGACTCCTGAGCATGCCAAGGAAATAAAGAAATGGAGCGAACAAATCAACTCAAGAGTTTCCCCTCATGGTATAAATGACCAGGCTGAAATTAGCTTATTTTGCACACATTATATGAGGAGCCCTGGTGGTGCAGTAGTTAAAGTGTAGTAGTGCAGGCAAACTCTGCCCACAGCCTGGAGTTGGATCTTGACAGGGCTCAAATCGACTCAGCCTTCCATCCTTCCAAGGTTGGTAAAATGAGGACCCAGATTGTTGGGAACAATATGCAAATAATGCTTACATTGTAAACTGCCCAGAGTGTGCTGTAAAGCGCTCTGGGGCAGTATATAAGCCCAAATGCTAATGCAATTGCTATGAAAACTAGAGAGGGGTCGAATGCTGGGAAATGTGGAAGAAATGAAAAGAAGAGGAGCAGCAGCACGATGGATGGACTCAGTTATAGTGGAAATGAGTACAGTGTAGAAATACCTGAAAGACCATGTTAGAGACATGGAGAAAAAAAATCTATCTATGTGGTTGCTAAGAGTTGAGAATGATGTGATGGCACATACTCAATTAAATGAATAATATATATATATATATAAAGAGCATGTTTTTCAGATCCAATTTAAGAGGCAGCTGCTGTATTTTTCTTCCCATACAATAGCTTCTTTTCCTCATGAGTTTCAGGAATATAGTAAGAAACATTTTCCTTTTCACAAATGGAACCAGCAGTTCTGAAACGGGGCCAAAACAGTTGTGGTGCTATAATATAAATCAATACTTAATAGAAAAATGAATAAGCTTAATATCCAATTAATTAACTTTGGATGAAATTTTCCTGGCTCTTTAAGTTTGTTTATTATTAAATGGATACCTCAATATTTTACTGACGATTTTTTGCACTGGGTTCAATTCTTATTCTTAATAATATAAAATCCTTGCAAATTGTACTGCACGCTTAACAATTCCTACAGAAAGACGCTGGACACGCATGTGAGATACAGAGGTTTTAAATCCTGTTTGTCAAATACATACCAGATTTCCCACTGAAAGTACTTGGTAGAAATCAGAAGTCATTGGGTAATGTTCCATGGCCATAAACAGTGTATTCAAAACTATGCAAATAGTAATAGCAAGATCGACAAATGGATCCGTCACTATCAAATTCATAATGTGCTTTACGTTTAACCAAGGGCTCCAGCAATCCCAAATCAAGAAAACATTTGCAAATCTATACCAGCATGGCGGACACTTCTGCCGGGATTCTTCAAGTTCTGGAGATTGATAAAAGATATGTATTAGCTTTTTCAATTTAATGCATTCCATATTCTGCAGTATTCTGGTAAACTACATATAAAATTAAGAATGCATGGGAAATTTCCTTATGTATATGTTTATTACTATTGCTTACTAATTTATTTACACAGCTGATAGAAACATCTAGCAAAAGAAGAGCTTGCTATATAGTTCAGGATTGAACTGTGGAGTCCTTGGAGCTTTCTGAACTTGGTTGTTTGCTTGCAGACATTTCATGCTACACAGTAAGATAGTGAAATGCCTGCAAGCAAACAATCAAGCTCAGAGAGCACCAAGGATTCCACGGAAATATGTACTTTTATAACTAAACATGCTTTCATACAGTCTTCAGAATTAATTCTGACACAGGACATTTTAACTGAAACAAATAGACTCTTACTACCAGTTACTCCTACCTATTGTCTTAGCAATTAAGTCTTATTCACCATAAGAGTTTGCTGCAGTTAAGCCAATAAACATTAGGAGAAAATGAAGGAAGACTTTAATTTTTCAGTGAAGGTAGAAAAACTAGCACACTTAGATCATGGACTGCCCTTCATTGCTTTATCTGGCCTGCTCATTTGAATTAATTTATTAAATTTACATGTATCTTGTTACATACAATTCTATGTGGCTAAGAACAGTAATAAAATACAGCAATAAAATGACTACAACAAAAGAGTTGCAAATATATTACTTTTGAAGTCAGAGTCATAGGGTATTTTAAATTGTTGTTTTAATATGCTATTTTTAAAATAATCACTTGATTCTATGTACAGTAGCTGACCTTTAAGTATTCAGGCTGACCTTTTCATGAATTCTAGCTAAAGGGTTTAAGTGTCTTTCTCTGATAATCTGAAACATTAGCATTTTGATCCAGTCCTCATTCACTACTGAACGAAATTTTCCCACCATATTGTGGCACAGAATGTTGGAAGCCAGCAACTCTTAATCATCCCTACATTCCACTTGCTCTGCTACCATCGTTCCCACAAAAAGGGAAAAAAAGTACTGGAATCCTGGAACTATTAAATATATGCCTACGATTTCAGTAGTAAAACTGTTTCCATTTGAGAGAATGAAATCAGGGTGATATCACTTCATGTTAAAACGACGACTTCACATCCTACCATACCTTCCATAGTATTTGTAAGGATGCTGGCTATACTCATGGCTCTCTGCCTTACTGCAGATTCTTCCATCAGTTCCATAGAAATGTGATAAGAGCTTAATCTTCTTTTTCTTATTTCTGTTTCAGTTGTTGTACCCTAAAAATAAAAGTATTTTCATTTTAATGTATTGCAGAAGTGAGAGACAGATTGAGTGTTGTTGGACCATTCTTGGTCCTTATGTAACCTTAGGGGGGAAAAAAACCTTTGCAGATCTCATCTCTCTGTGCCAGTTATTGCTATTAGATCTATCATTTATTATGTGATAATGGAAGTGAGATGTTTCCTCACAGTTGATCTAAGAATCTTTTTCTGTGTTTTACAAAATGGTTTCAGACTAAGTTCAGAGAAGAGCAACTAAGATGATCAAAGGCCTGATGACTAATACATATGAAGAACGGCTGCAGGACTTGGTTTGGCTAGTCTAAAGAAAAGAAGAAACATGGGTGACATGATAGCAGTATTCCAGTATTTGAGGGGCTGCCACAAAGAAGAGGGCGTCAAACTATTGTCCAAAGCACCAGAGGGCAGGACAAGAAACAATGGTTGGAAACTGATCAAAGAGAAAACCTGGAATTAAGGAGAAACTTCCTGACAGTGAGGACAATTAACCAGTGGAACAGCTTGCCCTCGGAAATCGTGGGCGCTCCATCACTGGAGGTTTTTAAGAAGAGACTGGACAGTCACTTGTCTGAAATGGTATAGGTTCTCCTGCTTGAGCAAGGGACTGGACTAGAAGACCTCCAAGGTCCCTTCAAGCTCTATTCTATTCTATTCTATTCTATTCTATTCTATTCTATTCTATTCTATTCTATTCTATTATTAGTTTAAAGCTTTAAGTGTAAATCTCTTCACTATAATCTGAAAATAAGTCACAAAAGAATTAAACTTTTATGATAGTATGTTGCAGGTTTTAGTGAAAGAGCATACAAAAGTTACTCTGAGGCAGTCAAATATATGTCATCACACCTATCTCTTGTGCAAGGATAGGAAACAGAAAAATCAGATGAAGTGACTGCACAAGCAGAGTTCCTGCTCACCCAAGATGTATTTCTTATTAATTCTCCATCCCTCCGTCCCTTTTTCTTGAAATTTCCCAACTCTCAAAGAGCATTTTTATTGATTAGAGTTCTGAAGAAGGGATGAGTCAATCAGACACACCCTCAGGCAACGTAGACGCAAGTATCTCAAGATGAAATATAGCAAATAAGTATTTCAGGCAAGGTCAAATGCAACAAACGTGGTTTAATCACCTCTGGTAAAAACTGTCCAGTAGGTGAAGGGAGTGCAGGAGGTCCTCCCATTAAGGAAACAACGCCATTGCAATCCACTGTGCTGTGCATCTTCCCATTGGCAGGAAGCACCGGCACCATCTTTGATGACAGGCTGATTTGACTGCTAGTGCTGTTGCGACGCTCACTTGTTTGTCTGTTTGGAACAAAGAGAGAATCTCTCCGGCTCTCATTGTCTTCAAGAGTGCTGTGTTCATCATCAGCAAAGTCATTCTCTGAGCCAATATCTTTTGCTCTCCCTCGGAAGCTGAAAATACTTGTTCTGCTACTGCGTCGCGGGGAAAACAGGGAGCCACGAAAGCTCAGCAAAGACTGTAAGAGAGGCAAAAAAAAAAAAAAAAAAAGCAAACCAGTTATTGTGGGGAATTATTTGTAGATGAGTGGCTTCCCTGACAGTATCTTTCAGGAAAGCAAAGAACTTATAAATTAAAGAAATAAATGCCATTATTCTACAACCCATCTATTTCGTGCGGCCGGCCTGGCGTAGTCTTAATTAGGTTTTAGTATAGGTTTGTATATGGGGTATTTTAGAGCAGGCCTTTATTTATTTAATCTGATTTTAGAATAGATATTTATTGTGATTTTTATTATCGCCTGTTCACCGCCCTGAGTCCCGTAAGGGAGATAGGGCGGTATACAAATTTAAATAAACATAAACATAAACCTCACCTTTGATATGCCTTCTTACAAATTAAGATGTCTCGCTCAGGGCTTTTCAACCTTTTAACCCACTTTTAGGATATGGCAATAGCCGAGTACCACCAGTCGCCTAGCAAGGTGTCAAAAACTTGATGACCAAAAAAAAAAAAGTGATAAAGTACAGGTAATCCTCAACTTACAACAGTTCGCTTAGTGACTGTTCGAAGTTACAATGGCACTTGAAAAAAGTGCCCCCCAAGCCACAGCCGAGCAAGACACCTGCCTGCCCACCCGGCCACGCTCTTCCTCCTGTCCGAGGTTTTCATTGTTGTGAGCATTTCTGTTGAGGATTGGCAGCGGGGTGAGGGGTGTTTGGTTTTTATTCCCCCCATCTGCTGGGTGGTTGCAGCAGGTTTTGGTCACTTCACATGACCTTCGGACACTGTGACCGTCATAAATATGAATCAGTTGCCAAGCATCTGAATGTAAATCACAAGACCCTGGAGATGCTGCAACATTCCAGCTGATTGGCGCTTCTTCTGGGCTCAGCAGAAGCGCCAGGATCAGTGCTGCTTTCCAGCTGATCAGTGCTTCTTCAGGGCTCAGCAGAAGCACCAGGATCAGCGCCGAGCTCCAGCTGGAGCCTGGCGCTGATCCTGGCGCTTCCACTGAGCCCTGACAGCCCTGCAGCTCCATCCATCTCTCGCTCAGGCTTGTGCGGTGCTGCCACCGGTTCAGCTCATTCCCCTCCCCCGCTACTTTTCTAGGATGGTCACGTACCACCTGCCAGGTGCCAATGTACCACAGGTGGTACCCGTACCACTGGTTGAAAAGCCCTGGTCTAGCTCGGACCTGTTCTGCAAGACAACCTGAGAACAATGAGTCATATATTCTTCCATTCATCCTCTGCTTCCTTGAGTGGAACACTTCAAATATAAGGAAATATCTTCTGAAGACAAAAAGGACACATTGACCAGCCAGCTGTTACATACAATTACTGGTGAAACTCAGTGGCTAGATCTATTTAACTAAACCACTGCAATTAACCCACCATTTATTAATCACGCTGCTTCATCAATTAATGCTTTCAGTAGCCACAGGAGACTGAAGCGATGATTTTGAAATCGAGAGCAGGAACAAAATCAATTTCTTTCTAGTTATCCTTTTATTTAATTGCACTACAAGAAATCCTTAATGGACACTTTTGCTCCTTCCCTGCATATTTCATTTCATTAGTAGCATTCATGAATTAATAAAGTCATCATCAATGTCAGAAGAAACCACATACACATAAACAATTGTTCCTGTATTTGAATTTCTTTTCAGTAACTTAGATTCACAACGACCACTGCAATTGCAGTATACAAACATTTACAAATCTCTTGGTTCGATTTTTTTAAAAATGTGACTTTAAGATGATAAACTAACGATTTTATTTAGACATTACAATAGTACTCATCAATATGAGTACTCATCAGTATGAGTACTCATATTAAACTCTAAGTGCTCTTTTAAGGAAAAGATATATATATAACTGCTGAAAAAGTAACTTTTTCAGGCAAATTTTTATCAGACAACCATCTCTTAGACTTTAGAGAATCCATTGCAATGCCCAAATACACTTACTGTAACACCAAGTATTTGTCAATATGATCTCTATTTATTGTCTTAATGTTTTATACTCTATTTTATTTAAAGTCCTAGAGTTACCTTGGATGAGATGGGAGGAATACAAGTTTGATAAATCATAAATAAATAAATAAATAAATAAATAAATAAATAAATAAATAAATAAATAAATAAATAAATAAATAAGGTGAGACGAGACGAGACAAAACAAGACAAGATAAGATAACCTTTATTGTCATTTTTTTTTACTGTGGGCACAACAGCACACATCAAAAAAATGAAATTTAGTTGCCCACTCTCAAAGTGAAACACATACATGACACACACCTAAACATACTATATACAACATATGTATAGACCCACACCCCTACATAAGTAAGTAAGTAAGTAAATAAGTAAGTAAGTAAGTAGGGAAGAAACAGTCTTTGGCCCTCTTTGCATGCAGTATTTACTTAAATTCTGTAAACCAGGTACTTGAAAACCTAAATTCCCACCGTTCTCATCTAACCAACCAATTCCTGCCTTACTTTAGGTAGGCAATACTGTTCTTTCCTTTCCTTGGTGGCAGGATATGAAAGCATCACAGCCCTTCACAATAAGGAAGACTTCACATAATAAGATAACATAAAAACTAAAATTAAGGTTTTTTAAAGTTCTTTTTTTTAAAAAAAGAGGATCAAACACAAATGGCAGATTGGAGGCCACACTGTAAAGCAAGTTAGACACTACAAGTATTTCATGGCACACAAGGACATGAGAAGCCAAAATCCCACAGAGGCCGTGATCTGATACTCTTTTAAGATTTTTTTCTAAATTCAAATGGGAGGCCAGTTTATACTCATAGCTTCTGGGAAGTTTCAAGGAGTAAATATTGCAAATCTTTTATTTGGCGTGCAGGCCTATGCCTATAAAGATTTCTATATTTGGGGAAAATACAACCTAACTTTCTGACAGCAGATTTTTGGATTCCAAAATAATATTTCCCTAGAAGCCCTGTTTGGCAAGATAAACTCATGTATTTGGCTAAAGCTATAATACTGGCCTGGCCCAAGGGCTAATCAATAAAGATTTATTATTATTATACAGTAATACTGGCCAGAAAGTTATCCCATCCCAACTTTATATAATCAACATCATTCCAGGTAGATAAACTCTCTCTTGAAATAAAACTATCCATGTATCTATTCTATGGACTATCTAAAGACCAAGGGAATAAAACAGAGTGCTTTGAATACTGATAAACAAAATTATTTTAGCAGAACCCAAGCTTTATTTTGTTATTGTTATTTGTTTATCTTTGTTCATTTTGATTATAACTTTATTATTATTTTTGCTCTGGCTTCTTTCCTTCCCTTTCTAAGACCTCTCTTGAAGAGGCTGCCATGTACTTTTATACAAGTGCCCCACATTTTGAATGATTATGTACTTATCTGTCCTGGTCTGGTTGAGTCAGTGACACATGCTCTATCATATTGTTCCTTTTATAAGGATTACTAATAACATCTCTTTTAACGAACTATGTAGGTAGATCAGACAGACTGTAATGGACTCTAGCCATCACTTATAAGGTAGCAAAATCTGTTTCTTGGAACTGAGTTATTAAGAAACAAATAACAGAATAGGTGATATAAAGGTTGAGTCATAAGTTTAAATCCAATTCTGTTGTTGCGCTTCAGATTTTAGAGCTGGTTTGGTGTTGTGGTTAAGGCCTCAAGCTAGAAACTGGGACACCAGGAATTCTAGTTTCCCCTTAGACACAAGGCCAACTGGGTGATCTTGGGCTAGTCACATCCTCTCAGCAGGCAAAAATAAACCACTTCTGAAAAACCTTGCCAAGAAAACTGCAGGAACTAGTCCAAGGAAGTCACCAGGAATCAAAAACTGACTTGAAAGCACTAAATAAATAAATAATATTTTTACATTCATAATGCATTTTGTTCTTATGTGTGTAATTCTTTTTCTTCTGCTAGTATAAGATCTACTTCAGTCCAAGACTGAAATAAAATAACTTTCTAACCAAGACATTGCCTGCTGAATTTTTACTTGTAATGTACCTCCCCCCTCCTTTTTTTTTAAACTATAAAGTGGAGCCGTGGTGGCACAGAGGTTAGAATGCCCTATTGTGGGCTAACTCACTGCTCACTGCCAGCAGTTCGATTCTGACCAGCTCAAGGTTGACTCTGCCTTCCATCCTTCTGAGGTCGGTAAAATGAGGACCCAGATGGTTGGGGGCAATAAGCTGATTCTATAAACTGCTCAGAAATGGCTGTAAAGCACTGTGAAGTGATATATAAATCTAAGTGCTATTGCTATTGCTATAAGCAAACAACTTGTATATTGTTGCTAAGATAATAGCATGGGAGGGTCCATATAGTTACTTGATTCAAGGGAGACTTTATTGGTTGTTAATTAAATTCATTTTTGTGAGGTTTTTAGTCTGGAGTCAGTTCTGTACCCTTAGTGTAAATAGACAATTAAAATTGACAAAGAAAAAAAATGTCATATAACACCTCCAGTTCCTTCTTCGGAGGGACTCATCATATCCTTAGAGATTTGAGTTCTGCAGGGGACCCGTCGCTGTGTCTCAACCGATTAAGAAGGTGTTGTCGTCGGTCTGTTAGGAACACTAGAGGACCGAATTTTGTGTAGTGATACTCTTCCGGAATCCTATTTGCCACATGCTAAATAAAGTAAATAAACAGTATACTGTCTGTTTTGATTGTATTGCTTTTAATTATTGTAAATAGTTTTAGGGTCCTCCTGAGCCAAAGAGGAAAAGATAAAGGTTTCCCTGTCAATTAAGTCTGACTATAGGGCACGGTACTCATCTCCGTTTCTTAGCCCAGGGAGCCAGCATTGTCTAAAGACAATTTCTGTGGTCATGTGGCCAGAATGTCTATAAGCCAAAGGCACACGGAATGCTGTTATTTTCCCACCAAAGTGGTACCTATTTATCTACTCACATTTGCATGTTTTCAAACTATTTATCTACTCACATTTGCATGCTTTCAAACTGCTAGGTGGGCAGAAGCTGGGGCAAGTAACGGGAGCTCACCCCGTTGCGTGGAGCTCGGGTCTCGAACCCGGGCTGTCAACTGGCAAATTCAGCGTCTTTAACCACTAAGCCATCACACCCCTCTTTCTGAGCCAAAGAATGAGAAAGGGAAAAAAAACCAGAGGGCATCCAATGCAGCAAAAGAAGAAGGGGAATTTCTAGGTGCACCAATATCTCTGTCTCTATTTCAATATCATCTCTATCATCTCTCTTCCTCTCTGTCTCTATCACCTCTGTCTCTATTTCTTTACTGAACAAATATATTTTGAATATATTATGGTGGGATACAAGTATATTAATAAAGAACAAATAAACTATTGTGCTTCTATATTTTACCCACAAGCACAAATGCTTAAGTTGTAACTGAAGTTACTTCTGTTGTTCAGGGTAGCTGTTGGTAGCATATTATCCCATACTCATAACCCTATAGTTGCCCTGGAATCTGGAAAGAAAAGAAACAGTAACTATAATAGACACTTGTCACTAAACAGAAGAATTGTGACTTCATAATAAGGTTACCTTATTATAATAAGGTTACTCCTGCGAGTCTCCTGGACTGCAAGGCGATCAAACCGGTCAGTCCTAGAGAAGATCAACCCTGACTGCTCTTTATAACAGGGCTTTTCAACCAGTGGTACGGGTACCACCTGTGGTACATTGGCACCTGGCAGGTGGTATGCGACCATCCTAGAAAAGTGGTAGCGGGGGAGGGGAATGAGCTGAACCGGTGGCAGCACCGCACAAGCCTGAGTGAGAGACGGCTGGAGCTGCAGGGCTGTCAGGGCTCAGCAGAAGCGCCAGATCAGCGCCAGGCTCCAGCTGGAGCTTGGTGCTGATCCTGGTGCTTCTGCTGAGCCCTGAAGAAGCACTGATCAGCTGGAAGGCAGCACTGATCCTGGCGCTTCTGCTGAGCCCAGAAGAAGCGCCAATCAGCTGGAATTTTGCAGCATCTCCAGGGTCTTGTGATTTACATTCAGATGCTTGGCAACTGATTCATATTTATGACGGTCACAGTGTCCGAAGGTCATGTGAAGTGACCAAAACCTGCTGCAACCACCCAGCAGACGGGGGGAATAAAAAACAAACACACACACCCCGCTGCCAATCCTCAACAGAAATGCTCACAACAATGAAAACCTCGGACAGGAGGAAGAGCGTGGCCGGGTGGGCAGGCAGGTGTCTTGCTCGGCTGTGGCTTGGGGGGCACTTTTTTCAGTGCCATTGTAACTTCGAACAGTCACTAAGCGAACTGTTGTAAGTTGAGGATTACCTGTACTTTATCACTTTTTTTTTTTTGGTCATCAAGTTTTTGACACCTTGCTAGGGGACTGGTGGTACTCGGATATTGCCATATCCTAAAAGTGGTACAATGGGTTAAAAGGTTGAAAAGCCCTGCTTTAGAAGGCCAGATCCTGAAGTTGAAACTCAAATACTTTGGCCACCTAATGAGAAGGAAGGACTCACTGGAGAAAGGCCTAATGCTGGGAAAGATTGAGGGCAATAGAAGAAGGGGACGACAGAGAATGAGGTGGCTGGATGGAGTCATTGAAGCAGTAGGCGTGAGCTTAAATGGACTCCAGAAGATGGTAGAGGACAGGAAGGCCTGGATGAATGTTGTCCATGGGGTCGCGATGGGTCGGACACGACTTCGCAACTAACAACAACAACAATAAGGTTACCAACTTGGCAAGACTCACATATATGGAAAAACGTAATTTTTTAAAAACATGATACCCATTGTGATCCATAATCAGCAGCCGTTTTATCTTACCCTATAAAAATCAAAGGGAACTATAGCAAACAACTCTAGCATCTGTATGCATATCCTGCCCTGGTCACCAATCTTTACAAAAAAAAACACCACACTTATTTTCCTAAAGATGGAATTTATCAGGTTCTTGTAAAAGGAAAGTCCATCAATGTGGGACTGATACACCAGGTTCTGATTTTTGGAGCTGAAATATATATTAGAACCTACTGCGTAGTTTAAATGAACACTATAGCATACCTGGTGAGTTGAGGTTCTCTTTTCATAGGACAAGCGACCTCCCCTTCTGA